CTTTATAAATGTCTTCATTTCTTTAACAATTTAGATTTTTTAACGTATAAAATATATAAATTACAAAACCTCATCTTGTTCGCTTATTGTTGCAATGCTACAGCACTCAGTGAGGTACCGGAGGTGTGTCTTTTGCAAACAAAAACGTTTCCGGTTTACAAAAATAGTTAAGATTTCAAAATGAATATAATAAAGTGGAAATTGAACTTCGTGTCGTGCAATTTTGGACTGAAATCAAACTTGTGATTACAAATCGCAAACTAGCTCGTTCCAGCCCCCATATTCTGTTTACTTAAGGCGTTGTCACACTTGTCGAGTCAGTTCGCTATTAAATCGATCAATGCCAAAACAGGTTCACAACTTTAAATACTTATCAAGGTATCATAGTAAAATCTTCAAACTATACCTATGTGAGTTTTACTCTGCGTACTGAACTAAATTTACTCACAATTTTATCGAATTAAATTTTTAATGACGTAACATTTTAATTGCATGACCGAGTGTTATCTAGCTTGGGATGACTCGTCTTTACGCTCGAGTCTGTCCACGTGAAAGGTTAATGTTCATGAGACTTCAGGCAGCTGCTCTGTTTGAACAAATCTGCCCACAAGATAAACTATAGGAAATAGGTCAATCACAACATGACATCTTCACATACACAACGGCAGCTAGTTTAACAAACTTTCATAGCCTAATGGAAGAAATAATGAATGTTTTCCGAAGAACCGAAATATTTACGTTACTTTGATTTGTGGCAAAATATCCATTATCTCTTCTCATTTTGCTTAGGATAATATTTGCTTGCACGAACATTTCACCTGCTCTCAAGCAAACATCTTCTGTTATTATATTTTTACCAGAAATTCTATGTATAAGTGATAGTGTTTCGTAACACAAAGAACTGAGCTCACTAAACAAAAACAAGTAACTTCGCGTTCTAAATTAAAATCGGAATATTTTTTGTCAAAATAAACTTCTACTCACAGTTACTTGTACTGAATCGCTTTAGGTTATTTGGATTCGATATAAGTTTATAAATGTCATTTTAAGCTTTGAGAAATTAACATTTGTCACTATTTAAATGTTTCACCCAGAGACCATGCACGCGTCTCTTTGACCATATTTCCCTAAGCTTAAATTTCCTCCAGCTGAATAAATTGACTATAGGAATACAGCCATAGCAAGAATATTAAAAAGCATGCAAAAATGTTCGGTTTATTTCATCATTTTATTATAGTATATACACATATTTATGAACAATTACAAAGTGCGAAATTGCTTCATCAGTTATCTTTAATTGCAGATGTAGCTACTGGAAATTTAGGTAGGCCTAGTATCCTATACTTCATTATAGCTGAACCTTTTTCTTGTTTGATTACAAGAAAATGTATTTACTCATCATGCTCATAAGTTATGCTCTAATGATAATATAAATTGATCTTCTACAGCGGCTTTAGAAAGATTCATGCACTTGCTTTAACTTTTAATTGCAATCTATATAGGAACATTACTTGGCCATGAAAATAGTCATTTTAAAACTGGGTACTATAGGAGAATATACACAACTAGGTCATTCAGGTCAATGAAAATGTGTAAATCGCCAAAAGTAGACTGTATTTTTCAAGTAGGTATAAACCATAATAATTTTCCAGTTCCTAGCATTGGGATTTTGCTTCACAAGAACAACATAGCCTATATTACTACACCACACAAACATATTTTCCCTTTGAAACGTTTATACTGTATATTTCATAAAACAAGCCTAGAAATCTTCAAAAGCAACTTCAATAGTAGTGAAAGGTTTTCATAAAAATACAAAATACTATATGTACAGACAAACAGTACAAGCGGAATAACAATCAAAATATTGAATTTTACTGCCAAATAGATCATAAAGAATTAGAAACAACGATGAAAAAAGGGAAAATTGTTTGTTATTACATCTTCTGTTATGCCTACGGCTGTATAGTGAATTTATTCAGATCGAGCAATTTAAGCTTATACAAATATGGACACTCGGTCTCTGGATGAAAACATTGAACATTTCGATCATAAAGAAAGAGAGGTTGTCGAATTCACAAGGTTTAAAATGGCATTCATAAACTTATCGAACCCAAATAACCTAGAGATTCAGTACAAACAACTCTCAGAGAAAGTTAATTTTAACAAAAAATTTCAGATCTTTATTTAAAACGAGAATGTACCTGTTTTTGTTCGTGAGGTCTGTTTTTTGCACGAAATTGTTTGTTTGCGAAACGTTTTCACATGTCACCTCCTTGCCAATGAATTGTTTTATTCATTAATACACGTAACGTAAATGAAATTGCACGTACATGTGGATCAGAGGTCTCTTGTTGTTTTCCTGTGAATTATATTTATTAAAATGGATTCAAAAAGTTGTTAAAAATCCGCCATTCATCTTCAAAATAAAATCGCTCGCTATTATAGCCGCCATGTCGTTCGATTGCAAAGTGACTACTAATACAGTCATGCATATCGCGCATTGCAATAAAGCAAGTTTCCCATTTCAGAGACATGAAACGTTCGGAGGAAAAAGTCACAGTTCTTATATTTCATTGGAGCAATGAGATGGCTTTGGCATTCGACACCAAAATCCCACGTGACTGATTATGTTATACAGTGATAAGTGCTTGTATGGTTCCTCGCCTGAAAATTAAATATATCCTTTAACTGTTATAATGTTTTTACCAGTTGAGCATCTAAATATTTGTCTTAGTTTCTTCATTTCTTATACCAAAATGAAGCTAACTTGTTTTTGTTGCTGGGAAAGGTCGATCACGATTATTAGCGGTGAAAAGAAATAACTCAAATAAGCTTGGTGTTTTCTAAAAATTATAAGCAGTGCTGTAAAAGTTTCTCATTTTTTGGAACTAGTTACATTTGCAGTTACAGTTACAGTTACAGTTACATTCCCAAAAAAGGAACTAGTTACTGGTAAAAGTTACACTTAAAAAAATGTAACTAGTTGCCGTTACAAAATTACTTCAATATTTTTGTAACTATAGTTACAAGTTACTTAGAAGTTTTTCTAACTTTATCAAGTAAGAAACCCCCAGTTTTTTTCAACTTAATGATTAGTGGTCAGCAGATTGACGTTAATTATTTGTAAACGTTATGTAACCTTACCACTAATGGATCTCTCAGCTGTGTTAAGCACTGAAGCATGCGTTGTCGTAGAAAACCGTGAGGAAAATTTCGAGAACTGAGAGGTGAATTGTAAGTTTTAACCGCAAGAATGTAACGAAAAAAGTAACGTCAACGTTGGCTATTTTTAAAGTAACGCGTTATCGTTTCATTTTAGGTCAAAATGTAACTCGCTAAAGTTACAGTTACAGTTACCTTATTTTAATAGAAACTATTTACCGTTACAGTTACTTAAAAAGTAAAAAGTAACGATTATACATGTAGTTTCGTTACTTGTAGCGAACTTACTTACAGCGCTGATTATAAGTGCAATGAAACTGCATGTACAGTAAACCATTTAGACTGTAAAATGTTTGATCACAGGTAGCTGAACTATACTGTCAGTAACAAGTGTAAAATAATCAAAATAATAAACTTACTTTAAAAAATTTGCTAAATTCTTGGCAACAGCATATATTATGAATGGAGAAAGAGCATAAAATTACTAATAATATATTATGAATGGAGAAAGAGCAAAAAAATATCTGTATGAACTATGAAGTACTACAGAATCCTCAACAAGGTAAGTAATGAGGGCGCGTATGACGTAATAGCATAATTAATAATAAAGTAATATACTGTATAGCTTTGAGATGCATTTCTAAACTGCGACCGGAAATCTCCGAGTGGATAGGCTACTCTTGGTAAACATGGAACGATCACGTGACCGGTGTTTCACCCCTTCTATTATTAATTATATGTTATTGAAGATACTATTGCCTCATACGCGCCCGCAGTATACTTACCTGTTGAGCATTATATAGCACATTATATAGATAATATTTTTTGCTCTTTCTCTGTTGACAGTCTGGCGAAAAATTTATGCAAATCCTACGACCTTTGGAATACTAGCCCAATGCTCTTCCAACTGAGCTACGCGGTCAGGACGGTTCGAGTAAGTGATATTTCGGAACAGAATCTAGTTCCTTCGATACCAATGTAATCTAGTAATATGATTTTTTCTGTGTTGGTGTTGTGTACTCAAGTGAATATGATATATGTGATGTTACTTTGAGTGTATATCTACACCAGGCGAGCTTGAAAAATATGCCCGGCCACGGTGGGATTCGAACCCACGACCTTTGGAATACTAGCCCAATAGTAATCTCGCTCAATTAAACACAATGTAGGCTGACGTTTAGTAGACGGAAATTTTGAATAAAAACCTATAATAACATTATAACTCAAATTCAACTTGTTCAATCAAAAAACAGCATTACATGACAACAGTAGCTACTTCGTGATAATACGAGTTCTTACGGTATTTCAATCAAATTAATGATTACGCAATGCAGCCAGATATTATTATATAGATCTGCATGCCCGTGAGATATTATGTCTCACGTTTACCCGTCACCCTTGAATAGTACGAGTACGTGACCTGTTGTTTGTATATTCGTATAAAAGATGTATTGATTCAACCAAAGATTTTCATGAGATATTTTACCTTCAATAATCCAAAGGATACAGGTTCTTTAAAAACGAATTATAGTTTGCTCTCAACTTAGTGGGTTCCTTAAATTTCGATATAATGTATAAATTTTTTAACACTTCCCTTGTGGAATTTCAGCAAAAGTTAACCTTCAATGATGATATTTTCCGATGGGTTTTTCACTTTGGGTAATATTTCGCCAAAACCCACTGGCTCCGCGTGTTTAAATGATAAATATACCGGTACTATTTTAGGCCAGGATGAAATTTGGAAAAATGTACAAGTAAACCTCTAGCCTCGCGAAAAGAGAAATTGGCGGCATCCAATTCCGGTAACACCCACTTTTGTTATATCTAACACTCACCAGAAAAAAAGCTATTTGGCCTGATATTTAAAGTCTTCGGCTCCGATACGTTCTTACGGCAGCATGAATCAACAGCTATACATCGATAAGTGAAAGGAAACTTATCTTTTAATAGCCAATTGTCTATCGTAGCTATCCAGTTGGACGAAACATTTCTTGTAGTTGTACTGTTTAAGATTAGGGTATCTCCATCAGCATCTAGTCTTTCCCATTGAATGTACTGCAAGTCACCAGTAGCATTGCAAGTCAATGTAATTGGCCCAGGTAGCGAATAATTGTCGGATCCAGTTATAGGATAGGAAAATGTTGTGCTGATGTCCGATTTACAACCTGAAATAAAATAAAGAACATCAGTATTTAATTAACACTGAATTATTTCCTTTATGGGACTCTAAGGCCGGTTTGCTCAACAATAGTGAGCTTAAGCAAGTGACGTTTTTGAGAACCGAACGGCATGAGTAACGTCAGAAGACTGGGTCAAGGGCTGTGATTGGTGAAAAACCTCATCTTTACTTTCGGTCGACGTCCGTGCAAGGGAGCACGCCAGAAATATTTGTCTAAATTTATACTAACCTTTTAATTACATGTAAATGTTTTCAATTTTCATCGGGCGCCATTTTGAATGTTGAAAGCGGTATATATTATTAGATTATCGCAGGCGCAATAATTTATGTTCATCTTTGACATTAATTTGTGTTACACGATAATACTCCGAAGGGCGACCGAGAAAGATCCGAAATTTAAAATAAGGCGGAGAAATAATAAAAAATAAAGAGGGGAGTGAAACGGCCGAACTATTATCCACTGATGCCGGTTGACTGTTGCTAGGAACATTTGATGTTGCTAGGAACAAACCGGAAACAAAATGAGACATACTATTACGGGAACCACTGAGTATTTTAATATAATATACTGTAGAACAACAAATATAATATAACATACTGTAGAAAATAAAATTTTTTGATTATTTTCGGATTTACCGTTGATTTATATTTGATCTACTATAATTAATTCAAGCGAGTCACATTAGAATATATTATTAAAAATGGGGACTATGGCGAGAGTTTGTATATCAGATAAACATCGGCTGCTCGTGTTTTAAGGTGCTTAAAAGACGACCCATCATATGAGTTCATTGGCGAAGTAATTTTAAAAATAAACATTGTCTAAGCCGAGAAAATCGAAGCTGAAGTTTATGTAAATGAGGACAATTTACAAATCTATTATCCGATCGATTTACATACATTGATTAAACATTCATTTCTTTTGAATTTCCGTCATGAATTATTAGTACTGTATTTTGTGTCCAGCATTCGCAAATGTTTTTGTTTCTCTGCTGTCGAAAATTCACTGCTGGCGAGCAAGGATGAAAATCAATACAAGTTTTGATATATTTCAGATTCGACAGTTCTTGGTCAACGAGCATGGCAAGATAACGAAATTGGATATACGCATTGTCATTGGCCAATACCCCATCACGTGTTCGGCCGTTTCACTCCCCTCTTTATTTTTTATTATTTCTCCGCCTAATTTTAAATTTCGGATCTTTCTCGGTCGCCCTTCGGAGTATTATCGTGTAACATAAATTAATGTCAAAGATGAACATAAATTATTGCGCCTGCGATAATCAAATAATATATACCGCTTTCAACATTCAAAATGGCGCCCGATGAAAATTGAAAACATTTACATGTAATTAAAAGGTTAGTATAAATTTACACAAATATTTCTGACGTGCTCCCTTGGTCCGTGTTGCCAAAAACGTCACTTGCTTAAGCTTACTAATGTCTTTGATACACTCGATCTAATCGACTTCTTTTCGTTCGTCTACACAATACGATAAGTCGAATACGATTGAAGAAATTTGACATCAATTCAGTGAAAAGAATGACAGTTTTGCACGACTATAATCGTGTCGTATGGACACGCCTTTACACATCAATATATGACGAACATGGAAATATGGCATCCTTACACGCATTTATTCAAGTTCATACGTCAGGATAAAATCGTATACGACTAGTCGTATATATCATGTAACTGAGTTACACAAATAGTTTTCGCGTGAGTACGCCTCGATGTTTAATTATCTGGGGTCGGTTGTATAAAAACGTAGATAAAGTTAAGTGCAGTTAGCGTTAGCTACAATGGTTAAAACCTTAACTGCAGTTAGGGAACTGTTTGATTTAACTGCGTTACACAAAACATAGTTAGTCGGGTAGTTAACGAATACGTAGTTAGCTATGCGTGGGGCTTGCGCGGGGCGTTTAAACATAAAATTACAGAAAGTAAGCAGTGATATAAGATCGCTGGCAAGCACATTTTATCTTATTTGTGGACTCGTATTTTGCAAGTAGGCGGGAATTTGATTCAAACAGTGGAAAATAAGCTAGAAAATAAGCGAGAAAACAAGGCAAAACCGCCGCAAAAATCACAAAAGGTAGTGTTTTGCTCAAATGTTTATGCTAAACCAAAGTGTAGCTGTTGGTAAATGGTAATTATATATCAGTGTTGCTGTTTGAAATGTGCCCTACTTCGTCTTCGAGAAATATTCCTTTGCAAAAATATATTCTGTGCTGGCCAAAACACCCAAACGATAGCGTTTGAAGAGTTTATAATGTTAGGAAATATATTCGTAGGGAACTTTCAAGATAGCGATTGAAAATCCCAGATAGGTGTTGCATTCGATTATTGTTCACACGTTCAAAGCTTTCACACATAAGCTAAGATTTTGTTTGTTAATTTATTCAACAAGTACCAGGAACTGATCACCATGTTGATCCATCGTTTTAGAATTCAAACTTTTGCATTGTTTCAAACCCTTAATGTTGGTCCGGCCAGTGGCGTAACAGAGGAAGAGGCGGCCCTTAGGCATATTTGGTGTGGGGGCCCCAGTTGACTGTTGCTATTGTTTATTAACTGAGATATTATATTTAGCTATATTGAATATTTATAGAATGTTCTGGAAAATTCCGTGTCTATAAGAACAACAGACTCCAACACAATTAAGTTGCGGATTACATGGACCTGTTAACCGGGTTTAAATTTTTGGCGATTACACGGACGATTTCAAACCCAGGGTTAAAATTCTACACGTTCCCGGCACTGCATGATTCCCGGAAGTAAAAACGGCTCCATAGTCTCCATTTTGTTTTCTTGTAAAACATAGTTACTCTGACCACGCATGCTCGAATAACCCATGGATAACTTCATGCCCGGGGTGAAACGATTACATGACAAAAAATTTTAAACCCATGAGGGCCGAGTTTACTTGGGGTTGAAATTTCAACCCTGTTAGCTGAAGCCCTGCAGGGCTGAAATTTCAACCCGGGCCACAGGACTGAGTTCAAGCCCGGGGTTGAAAATGTTTTGCCTGATATAATAATATCAAACAAAATTCATAGTGTAATCAATCGTTAATCCCCATTCCGATTTGCTGTTAAATTGGAGCACTATGACGTATATTACTTAAACATTATTATAATAACTAAAGTATATGTACATAAGTTCTTTGTATATATGTACAGTTCTTAATGCACCTATTAATATTCTGTTGCCCAATGAAATAAGTTACAGTCTATATATACTACTGTACTACATGTAATTAATACTTTTCTCCACGTAGTGTTATAGGCAAACAATCAATGCTTATAAATATTTGTTCAGTAAAAATGCTGTGTGTGAAGAATTAATTATTGTTTGCAATGAGGTTTTTATCTTAACGACAACAACATTAAGATTAGCAGGAATTAGGGACCATGAAGTTCCTGTTCCAAAAATTAATAGTAAAATGCAGTATGTGGCAAAAAAGTAAAACATATGTTTCATATCAGTGCAAGATTATGGAATCGTCTGCCAAAGGATAATAAGACTTTTGAAATCAATCTGCACTTTTAATTAAAAATCAATTAAAAACATACTTTTTTCGTATAGCTTAGGATATCACTTACTAGTTTTTATTGATTTTCTGTTACTAGTTTTGCTCATTTTTAGCTAGTAACATTTTAATTAAAGATCGATCTTTCATTCTGTATTTTTTTGCTTTGGGGCTGCTGCCCCCC